ATAATTCATTTAATTGCTTTAAAAAATTAAAAAAGTTAAGCCTATAAACATCCTACTGCTAGGCACAGACCTCCTCTCATTTCTAAGAGGGTTTTAGGGCAAGGACAAATCCGCCTTGTTGCCCCATTGCATTCCGCCGAATTTAACGTCTTCAAATTTTTTTTTATATTTCTTAGATATGCAGATTTCACCGTTGAGCACGTGGTAAATCAGCACTTAAAATTGCAATTAACGATTTCGTCGGTCAGGCGGGGATCGAACCCGGGCTACTTGCTTACTGTGAAATTTACAGCGAGCGCTTATGCCCTGAGATATCGCGGTTTAGCTTTGTGTAGATTACTGTTTGTGATAGCAGGACACGAGGCAGCATTTAACTCTACTCAACTTTATTAGAACGCAAATAAAATTATTACACATGTTCCGATGGTGCCCTAGCTTCTGAATTAGAAATCCTGTATGTCAGGAGCTATTCCCTTCCATATTTTATGCATAACAATATATAGATTCATTGTAACCTTCAATAAAATCTAATAACATTCTACTCTATTTTATTCAAATTAACGTAAATAAAAATAAAAATTTTACATTTAAAAAAGTAAAATATATAATGATAATATGTAAAAGTGACTAAGTAATATGACAAAATAAATGTCTGAGTGTATGTATGTGTTTTGTGTATGTTATAATAAAATATATAGTAGTGTGATTAGTGCGTGGAAGTGATTATAAGAGCTAAAACTATGTTTATAAATCAACTATTAGGTATAAACTTGTTAGACGTGGGAAACATTCAAAATTCAAGAGTGCAGGGCAATAAAAAGAGCTAAAAGAAATATTTCCAGTAGAAAACTGGAGTCTGGTGGATGGCGGTGTTTTACCTTCTACATTAATCTTTTGCCAGTCGTGTCGTGTTGCCATCCCGTCTAACTGACGATCAGTGAATTAAACATACTAAATGATGCTATAAAAATTGCTAGTAAGTGGAATAACTGAAAGTTTTAAGTAAATAAATAAACAAAACAACTTATATACACTCTTATATATTTACTGTTTTTAAAAGTATTTCCCATTACACTTTAAATACTTTCTCACTTGTTCAAACAATTTTTCGCTTTACAACATATGAACAATTGGTCTGAAAATATGTTTTTCTATGCTAGTCGTGTTTCCCTAAGTTTTTCAAAGACACTGGGCAAACAAATGGTTGTGAGCCATTTCGCTCATCAAATGGATTTAAAAAGCAATCATTTTTTGCCTACACTTCTAGTTTGCCTAATTTTATTGGTTACATTTTTCACTTAAAATAAAATTGACCACAGACTTAGGTACGCCAGCATATTCTAAGTCTATGAAATTGACGATTTGGAAATATATCTTTAAATGAGTAAAAATTAAATTCTTATTTTTTATATTTAGCGTTGCCTTATTATAATTTTTAATATCTCATTTGGAAGTAATAGTAACGATGAGTAGAGTGTTCAAAATGTTAATAAATATTTTAGTGAAATGTCAGTTTCAGTGCGGTGGCAAACGAGGTCAATGTCTAAAATTCCTTCATTCTTTGATTGAGAATCCGTCTGCAAGTATGGAAATATCGTTATATTCTCAATCACCTTGAGATCTTCATCTGAGTGTTATTCATACTGAAAATAATCAGTTTTATACTCTATGATTGTATACCTACAGCTTAGTTAGTCTGATGTTATAAATTTTTATCTCAAGTCTCCTCTAAGCTCTTATCAAAATGTATACACCGCCATAATGCGGTTTTCGTTTGAATCATAGATAACTACTAACATAAATAACATTCTGAAACATTATTTTTAATATACACGAAATCCTTCGGTAGGGACTAAAATTGTTCTTGATGTGATAATCTATACCTCTATTGTATGATTTCTTGTCGTTCTTGTCTTATGTATTATTATTGTATATAGACTAGACTGCCTCGTTGGTCTAGTGGTTGTAGTAATGGGACTACTGATCATGAGGTTCTGGTTTCAAATCCCGGGTCGGGCCAACAAAATCAATTATTGAGATTTTCTCAGTAGTTGCCCGGAGTCAGGAACTTGGCGGTGTCTCACCCCCGTGCCTCGTAAAGCACGTAAAGCCGTTGATCCTGCGCCTGATCACTCTCCGGTCGTTTCGGTTTACCGTCCCATCGGATTATGAGAGTGAGGGAATAGGGAGTTCACCTGTGCTTGCGCATACACTTTGGCACTATAATCCTGTCCTGCGCCGATGGCTAGCCTCCTTTGAGGCAGGCCGCCGTGGCCGAAATTGGTTTGGAGGACATTATTATTATATAAAGTTTATTATTAGCCTGATGATTAAACTGGAGTCTATTTTAATAAGTGACTCACTTAAAACAATATGCAATCTAAAATACAATGCAAATAAAATATAACAGCAAGTGTCACATTTAACGGAGGTTGACGTTGTAACTTCTAGATTACATGAACTGACTGGCTAGCTTCTATCGTGACAAGACTCTTCTTTCATTATGTCGAAACTGTCCATAAAGTTCTTTTTTAATTTTCAATTGTTTTTTTCTCACGCGCTAGAGCCATGCATTTACTATAGTGATAGAGCCATGCTGTTACTATATAATGGTTGCAGCACGAATGGGTCGGCTCCACCGGAGAAGCGTGGTCCACACTTTCACAGAATACCAACTTGAAATAGCAGCTTAATTCTGCTGTGTTTGTATGGTGAGTGTAGAGAACCGGAGACTTTATCCAGTTCCAGCATTTCCTTTTGGTCCTCAGGGATGAAACGTACGATGTAACTTACCATCAGGTGGACTGTGGGTTCATTTGTTACTGTTATTCTTTAAAAAATATTTTGAATTGACTGCGTCTTAGTCCCTTTCTTAGAAGTCTGTTATATGCATGAATTTCTTAGAAGTATTGCTCAAACTCAGAAGTTAGCTCTTACGCGGCACGTGTGGAATTTACATCTAAGTGATTTGAGTACAGTCGTTTGCCAGTCGCATTAAACTCGTACCAGTATGTTTGACATTAAACCAAAGTCCGGATAATCGAATGCTTAATTTTATAAAAAAAGAATTATTTGGAAATTTACTATAGGTATTATCACATTTTATGTACTTATTAACAATATTTTACTACGTTGAAATATATATAATTATAACAAAAAAGAATCAAGAAAATCAAAATAACTACCCAAAAATAATGAACATGAAACCGTTGACGTAACTCACGATGATGGATTATACCAGTGTATATGTGGTCAATAACTCTCTAGTGCTTAAAATTGATGTGGTGGAATTGATGTGGTGAAGTGGGGAAGTAAACAAGGAATCACTTGCTACAAGCCTTACATTTAGGCAAGTTATTATTAATCGTATAACCAAATAATTAAATGAGTGGATTAAATAGTTTTCCTCTATATCGATATAGAAGCCCTAACCTTCAATAAAACTATGTCAAGGTAACTTAGTTTTGCCGTGTAAGTAATATAATATGCAAAATGCTAATTTCCTGTTCTGTAAATCAGTTAAGAAGATGTGGTAGTCCAATCATGGAATTGCAGATCATGATCTGCCACCCACAATTTATAAACTCAAAAAAAAAACGATTTTTTAAGGATAAGGGTGACAAACGAGCGCACGATCCATATGGTAAGTAGTTGCTGTGGCCCATGGACATCTACATCTTTCTTCGATTACGAATCAAAAGATACAAGATGCAGATACGTTGTCACCCAAGAGGATTAAGATAGAATGCCTCGTTTCCAGTAAAAAGGGTCTCCGACTATCTACACTTACCCTACAAAACACTGCAACGTTGAGCTGCTATTTTACGCTGGTATTCCGTGAGAGCGTGGTCCTCCCTAGGTCGACCCGATCCATTCGTGTTACAACTACAAATACCAATAAAGCTGTAAACTTATCACCTGACAATTAAGATTTTACATAGAATCTTATAGTGTGTGTAATAATTTGACCAAGGGCTGTATACTACTAATATAGCCGCAGCATTGGTCTACCACGTTGAAAAAATGAATAAATAATTAAATAATTTCCATTTAATAGCTTCCGTACTCTGTGCTACGACAGGGCATTGAAGAGTTAAAGCCATGACTTTAGAAGCTGTTATGTGAAGATAATTTTTGTTTTTATCGTTTTTTGAGCCGTGGTAGCTCAGAAACTATGCGCTTGTTGTAAATTTCACACCACGCGAGCTACCCAATTTCGATCCACGCCGGCACCAACGAAATTGTTAATTGCAATTTTATGTGCTGATTTACCATGTGCTCGGCGGTGAAGGAAGGCGGTGTAGCAGCAGCCAAATTAGCTCGTATGTAATTTAAATGAAAATATTATAAACAACGAATTTTGTTTTAAAATCACCGACCTCTGAAAAGAAGTCTAAGGATTTTAACGATGTAATTGTACGCACACTTGCTGCGTGTGCGTGTAGGTTGTGCGTGTTCGAGTGCGTATACGGTTGCGTGTTTGCATGCGTGTTTGACAGCGCGTGCACGTGCACGTGCGTATGCGTGTTCGAGTGTGTTCGAGTGCTAGTTCGTGTGCGTGTGAAAATATATAATAATATGTATATATGAACTACTTGCACGTATACTTGCCGATTATAAACATTTTTTCTTAACCACGCATAATTATAGTAAATCTTTTTTCTCGTCACCAGATAGAATAATGGAGATTTCTAATAAATAATTAGACCAAAGAAGACCAAACAAAGTTAGGCTTGAAGTAGCATTAAACATGGCCTCGAAGAAGGCATGACTATGAAATATTTAATTCGCATGCGATCTCCCGCACTTTAAAGTATTCCTTTTATTCTTGTAATTTTACGCAAAACTGAGCCATTATTATAGGTATGAACCATTTTTATTATGATTAAGTTGATTTTCTATAGTAAATTTATGGTGTTTGACGGATTGATATGAAGTTGAAGTTATTAGTCAATTATACGACCTCTGTCGGGAGGAAAACACTATTTCCTCCAACTTACTTTGAACTGTAGGCGTCTTGCACTGTTCGAATAGGCGGCGTGTTGGACTGTTTCTTCATTTTGTTTTCTTTTTATATCCCTTTCTTTAGTGTATTTTAGAAGACCTTGTTGTTATCACTCGCATTGCCACTGTAGATTTTATCTGAAATAAAAACAAAATATCGTAAAATCAGCAGAAATTATGATATTACTGATGAAAAAAATATTCAACTACTTCTAAGAAGAACCAAGCTCTCAAAAATACAAATGTATCATATAGCTGCTAAGGTGTGTATTGCGAGTGAAAATAATCGTATAAAATATCTGTCTGTATGGGTCTTTTTATATACACTGTGTGAGTCAATATGTTATCAGGATTTAGAATAACTAATATATCTAGAAAAGGTAAAGCATTAAAATGAAAAAGAGTATAAAAGAAAAAAAAGTTAAATAGGATCGCGCCCGTCAACACCGATTCCTTCCGAGGATGATTCGCGGGAATGTCTAAATCAAAAAACATCTTAATTTCACTAGAGAAGATGATTAGGTGCTACCATTTACTTGGGATCCTATAATTAATAGAATTAAATCTCAACCAAAAAAAAGTTCATCTCATAAAAAAAAACAGATACCTGGTTAACTATAACATTGGGACGTCGAACTCAATCCCCTCGCGACCATGAGTGCTGTAAAGTTCTCGAAACTTCGGGAATATAAAATAAGTCAATATACGCGATAAAATCCGTAAAAACTAGTTTTATTTAAATGCGCAGTATTTTAGTTTTTTGACTTAAATATTTATCAGGAAGATGGTGCTAGCAATTTATTGGTATAGTTTTTCTTTTTCACTTGCTATAACACCCACGATATGATATTATAGGTACCGCATTTATATGATAAAATGAAAAATAAAATACCAATATCTACCTCTAGTGGCCGTTAGTGCGACCGTTGATCAGGAGATCCTGAGTTCAAATCACAGGTCGGGCCAAACAGTGATACAGTGATTTGGTTTTTCTATCAAGAATTTCTCAGAAGCAGCTAAGAGCTGACTCCAGAGTGAGCGAATAAAGAGTGCACATGTCATTGCGCACAAACTCGCGCTAGTCCTAATGAGATAGCTAATCTCCGTTAAGACTGGCCGCCATGTCAAGAATTCGGTTATCTCGCTTACTCAAAATATAGAAAGACGACGGGAACCAGTATCAAATATTATTTAGTCTGTAACTGCGATCCCAAATTTCCCTGTTAAGTGTGGCTGTTAAATCTAATCCAGGGAGAGCTCAGCAATAACAAAATCTTAATAATATTTATATTTAAGAATTGTGTCACTTAAAATATTTGGTGAAGTAAAAATCATAGTCTTAAAATATAAAATATAGGGTCATATGACTGACAGTGGAATTATCATTAATAATAATAATAAATCATTTTTTATTCCCTCTTTAAAAAGGTATGAAATTTCACATTATTTCTTAAATAATACGATTGTAGACAATCTGTGAGAGAGTGGTACATACTTGGGTAACTCTTGTATTATAGATCACCAGACTCGTACCCTGACGGATAACACATATTTACATTTTCAAATATACTACAAGAGATATAAGGAAAGATTCTATATGTTTTTTTAAGTTATTTCTATATGTGTGTAATAGTGTGTGTGTTTGTGCGTGCGTGCGTGCGTGCGTTCGTGCGTGCGTGTGTGTGTGTGTGTGTGCGGCGTATGTGTGTGTATTTAGGATAATACTGTCAGTAAATTTTCAGTAACTTTATATTCAATATTTAGCCGACCACTTCTGTAATTTTTGTTTACATGCATATTTTGATAGAGAGTAAATTGATAAAAGTTTATTCAATTTATTATAAAGATAACCTCCCAGAAAGCAGAAAAATTTATGAAATTGAAAAAATGTGTCTTTAGAAACTTACTGGTACCAACTACATATTTCCTTCTTTTTTTCTTTTTTATCATTGTTTTGCAGAAGACGGCCATAAGAGCAATTTATAACCTAGTCCAAAGGTTACTTAAGAAAAATAAAAAACCTAGAGAAAAATAAAAAATTGTAAATAAAATCAAGCACAAATAAGCTATACCAGTTACTTAACCATTTCCTTCATGGGACAATGTATGTATGATTATACAGCAAAGTCTAAGAAAACATGCGGAACATATCTATCAAAGGTATATTTGTATGCTGCCATTAAAATTTATTACGTGCTTGACTAATATTTCATCTATTTAAAGTTTTACGAGACACTTATAACAATCTATATAATACTTTGAACTTGTAATATGTAATCAAAGATCATCATACAGAGCGCAGGTGTAGGTGTGTAATATTAAATGTTTTTGTTATTTAATTTAAGAGCTTATGTATGTACAGACATGCCAGCCCTATCATGATCTAATCCTACTTAAATTAAATTAAAAAAAGGATTATTTTGAAGTATTCCATTTTTTAAAACTTTATAAGAAGGTAATTATTACGCAATGGATATAATATCTATAACTTTTCTTTGAAAAAACAAGGAGTAAAAGGCTTGTCGGATTTTTTCTTGTCCCGGCCTCGCAATGTGCAATTCATCAGTGTGTTATTTCGTAAATATCTAATCAAAAACGCCAACATGACCTAGTTATTTTAACTTAGCTGTGGGGTGATAGCGTATGAATATCTAATACCCCATTTCATTCCGTGAGTATCGTAAGACATCAGTTTGAGAGATTCAAGATAAATCTAATAAGATTTATCTTATTAGATTTATCTTGAATATCTCTTTATTTTTTTTATTCTTTATATATCTTATTAGATTTATCTTGGAACAATAGATCCCAACAGATGGCGGTATAACTATCTCGTTGACACAAAATATACAGAACGATGACGGGAACCAGCGTCAAAGACGCCAATCGTCTGGAAATGCGATCGGCAATTTGCCTGTCAAGCGTGGCGTTTGAAACTAATCCGGGAAAGACTCATCTCCAGTAGCGGTCTTTTACGAGCTGAATAAGAAGTGAATACGAGCAAATCAGTCGCGGACGCGGTTTTGTGCTATGGTTTAAAATTTTAAACTTTTTTTTTTATTTTAAATATCAACAAAACACTTCACCTACATTCCCAAGGTGATTTCAAAGTTTTTTTTTATAAATATGAATATTTTCACTCACCGAATTTTGTAATTAGTCATTATTGTTGCAGAGCGTTTTAGTTCATTATCTGTGGCTGGTATCTGTTGTCATTATGATGGCATTTGTCTTTTTTCAATTTACCACTTCACTCTACCGTCACGTATCAAATATTAATCGACACAGTATCTTTTCACATAACGCTCATGTATATATAGGATGTTGAAAGATTTTTCAAAATAACTATCACTTTTCAAAAAATTTTTCAGTTCCAATGTTAAAAAATATAAGGCAGTAAGTAGTTCAGAAATTATCAAGAAGATATATTATACCTATCGTTTTTAGTCGACTATCTGATTTCTTTTTGTTAAATGAATTACAAGAATTGCATTTTTTCCCTTTTTTTTAATATAATAACAGTGACAAATAAGCACGTCGTCTACCTGATGTTAAGTGGACGCTTTTCGTGGCGCAATTCGGACCAGAGATTCGAACCCCGAACTTCGTGATCAGTAATCTCGTTTACAATAACAGGACCAAAGAGGCAGTCAATGACATATAACCAATTACCATAATGTGGGAATTAGCTTATAATATGTCTGGATGAATGACTCTCTTGGTTTGCTATGAAGCGTTTTAAAGAAGTTTTCTTCTGAACGGGCTATGAGAGAGAATTATTCCTCAGGTATGTGTACGTATTTTTTGATCTTTGACTTGCTGTAGAAAAAACTCCTGAATGCATTCATCATTTAATTTATGGGAAAATTTATGGGAATATATGGATTGAACGGGATAGCGTTTCATACCAAAAAATCTCGTTCCCTAATTCCGAGTATTAAAAATGCAAGATTTTCGTAATAGCGGCGCTATTATTTTATTTATAAATTTTGGGAATTTTTTAAATTTTATTTATAAATTAATATAATATTATTATATTAATTAAGCTAGTTGGCTGCGACATATATACATAGATAAATACTTAATTTCAAAATCATCTTAAATATAATATAGTACTTGCTAAAATTTACATCGAATTATATATTACTTAAACTGTTATATTAAATATTATAAATTTAATTTTCCCTCAAGCTTTCCCATAAATAAAGTTACCTCAGAACCTAGATAGATAGATAGATAACCTCTAAATAGATCACCGCGGCCCTAGCAAAATTTTTAGGTGGTGCGAGATCTCATAGTGGCGCCCCTCTAAATACAAAACCTTAGTGTTCTTATACTATGCAGTTGTTTTTTCGTGATTTTAAATAGTATTAGACTTATCAAATATCTACAGGTATATGTATATGCGGGGCAAGCACCGTTGTGTCTGTTGCTCTTGCCATAGCAGTTGTTCTGCTTATTCGTGTTAAAGAAATGTTGTCCATACCGCTCGCACTATGCTTGCCTTGCTGCGTTGACTAGTTGTACAGATTACTTCTCATAATCGAGTAGAAATAAAGAATTAATAACCTTGTTTGACAACTTTTATTTAAACTGTATTTTAAACAATTCTAGGATCAGTTGGTATCTCACCTACGGCTTTGTACACAAATAATATTTTCTTTCTTCGGGATCGGGCTGGCTTAAAAGTTGGATCTATCTGATATTACAGCAGATGAAAAGGTTCGGTACAATTTTAAAATCCTGACAAAATTTTCAAACTATACGACACCTTTGGTAAATCCATAGATTCAAACTGCATAGCTTTTTATTGTGCAAGCAGCTATGCAGGTCTAGAAAGACCAGTATCACTGTGACCTCACAGATCTATTGTGATCGCTGCTATTGCTATAGTTCACGGCTAAGTCTTCAATGAATAGGAATTGATTAGCTGTGAGCAATTTCACTTCTTCTGGGCGAAGTAGGTAGTTTCCTAGATGTGTTACGTTTGCGCATTAATGGTCCAAAATCAGTCAGGATATGCAGAGGGGTTCCTTCAGTTAAGGAACAAAACAG